GGCGCCTGGAGCGATGTTTTCGGGTGGGCAGAAACGCCGCACGTTGCAGGTAAACCGGGACATCAACAAGCAGAGGGAGTGGGGGTCCAGAGCCCTGATCAAAGTGGTCAAACAAGGCGGGGTTTGCAGTAGATAACTGTATATTTAAAAGTTGTTGGAGATCATAAACAAGCAGTGAGTTTATGTCACCGAAGAAAAATGACAAAAACAGAAAAAAACAATCAAAATAGACAGAGGTGAACGGCAAGCCACCAGCACCGGTGCCATCTTCCCGAAAGTGTCACCACAAATCAACAATATAATAACTAGAGTGTTGATAGTTCTAAACATTTTAATTGATTTAAAAGTCCAATATTCCGCATAGTTTTTGTTGCTTCTATTTAATACGAAATTCCAGTTGAATTTATTATCCAAAACAACCTCTAAAATTTAGCTTATCTACATTATAGAAAAATCATTTGTTGTTACCTAAAATCAATAAAAAAAAAGTTTTCCATAAATCAATAAACATCCCCCCCGTACTCTGCTGTGATCATATCATATAATCCTATTAATGCAATGAATGTTGAATTATTTGACCCAAATCCACACTGACCTTTCTTTACTCGACAAATTATTCTATTCAACATAACTATCCAATTTCAGAATCAGAATCAGAATAAATTTTATTGGCATTGCACCGAGATACAACGCGAATATGTACGTACAGTCGTCCGAAGATGGGTGGAGTGCACGAAGCTGCGGCTATAAATAATTAGCGCGGCCTTCTTATTCTTATTCAGAATAATGTTTTGCTTAGATAAGAAAAGGAAAGAAAACATGAGGAGAGACGGTATAAAAAAAAAAGATCTCTCACACCGTGTCCTAGACGGGGCACAATTTTAGGCATCAAAAAAACCTACCACAGCAAAGCAACATAAACAAACGTTATACATGAACATATAGGCGGTGAAAACATTGAATTTTTAAGGGAAAGTCATAGCATAGTCCAGATAAGAGGTGACGTTCATCTTCAGCTCAGGTGAGGTTCTGTCACATGTCCACGGCCTTGGGGAAGGGAGGGGTGAGGAAACAGTCAAAGCATCTTTGTTGTTTTCAAAACATTTCAGGAGGAGTTGAGATAAGTCCGGCACCAAGGCCACAGTTTGGGTCAGGCAGAACTCGTAATTGTTGTTTCTGCCTTTAAAGTCTCGCTGGTACATATTCTCTGATGGAAACTCCAAAACAGCCGAATTGATCCTTTACTCCAAAGTTGAGCTCACAGCTTCTCCAGATTATTCCCATCATTCATGAGTGCTGCCAGGGAGATCACAGTCCTGATAACAGCTGCTCCAACTCCCTGTCACAGCTCCACATTCAGTCCGAGCACTGTCGAGCTTCAACATATCCACATTAATTTGTAGACAACCAGATTTCACCAACCCAAACAGTAGAATCTAGTTGTCATCATGAATCCAATTTGTTCCTTAGAGGTAAGAGGGTCCTCCTTACCCTGACTCCTGTCGGGAGAAGTTGATCGATTTTGTTGAGAGACCAGCTGATCCTTCCAATTAAGAGGTATGCAGGAAAAAAAGAGGCTTTTTAAGGGTCCACAGGACAAAAGAGCGCAGCAGGGAAGCGGGTGGGGGGCAGAGAGGGAAAACACGTCTGGTCCCACCATAGAATACGGTGTTCAATTTCTGAACAAACCCAATTGATACAGCGGTGGTGGGATGCATCACAAACAATGATGAGTCCAGCTACAGGCAAGAGGTGGAACACCTGGAGAGCTGGTGCAAAGAGAATAACCTTCACATCAATGTGAAGAAGACAAAGGAGATGATTGTGGACTTCAGAAGGAACAAAAACATCTACACCCCCCTGAACATAAGAAGATCTGCGGTGGAAGTGGTCTCCAGCTACAAGTACTTGGGTGTACACATGAATGACAACCTCAGCTGGAGCAACAACACCACCAGCCTGATCAAGAAAGCTCTTCAGAGACTCTACTTCCTCAGACGGCTGAGGCGAGCTGGTCTGGGAAGCTCAGCCCTCACCTCCTTCTACAGGTGTGCAGTGGAGAGCATCCTGTGCTCGAGCATCAACGTGTGGCATGGAGGCTGCACAGCTGCAGAAAGAAAAGCTTTGCAGAGAGTGGTGAAGGCTGCACAGAAATCTGTCGGAATCAGCCTCCCCACCATCACAGACATCTACACCTCCAGATGCAGGAAGAGGGCCACCTGCATCATGAAGGACCCCACTCACCCAGCAAACACACTTTTTGCCCCACTCCCCTCAGGAAGGAGGTTAAGGAGCATTAAGTGTAGAACCACTAGACTGAGGAACAGCTTCTACCCTGAGGCTGTTAGATTCATGAATCTCTAACTAGAATAATCACTGTGAAAAACCATATCATATACATTTTATTGTTGGATGTAACTGGGACCCCGTGTACATAATTTCGCTCCTCCACATGTACCACATGAGGTGCAAATGACAATAAAGAAACTCTGACTCTGATTTTCAAGCACTTTGGAACCCTGGTGGGGCACTGATATCATTTTCAATCATCAAAGCTATGTCTATCATCAATTGTAAATATTGAAATTAGTTTTATTAATTGCATTTTTTCCTCTAAATATGTCAGTCTGAACTGACAAATTACAAATATAAGTAAGCAGTTTAAAAATAAAGTCCAGTAATTATATTTTTATTATCATCTTTTTAAATTCCATCACTATAGTGAAAGTAATTTAGTCTATTCACTTTTTTAGTTGGTAGTCATCCAAATCAATATTTCTTGAAACTACATGATCCACTAATCCATACCTGGATAAATAAAGGCTAAATGAAAAAAATACACCTTCTGGCACACCTCACTGGTTGTTCCACCTGTCCCTGTAGATATCCTCAATTCTCCATCCGGGAACACCTGCAGAGATTTTTTTTTGGGGGGGATGGGGGGTACAGTCATCTACCCATGCATGGTTTACAATTTATGTAGTAACACCAACAGAGTATATATCATTTCTGTTTTACACTTGGCTGTAAGGTTAAGAGTCTTAAAAGCATTATTTAGCATTTTCTTGATTAGTAATCATGAAACTCTTTAAGATCCATACTTAGCATAAGAAATGCATATATCAATCTACCACCATTAACATTTTCATGCTACCATTATCACTTTACGTGTGGTTCCTGGCCTCTGAAGACACATGCAAAAACTGATCATTACCTCTGCATTTCAATAACGAAAACACAAGTAAAAAGGGAAAAGAAAAGGGGAAAAACACATGTTATATAAATTCAATTCAATTCAGTGATGAGACAGAAGACCATGGAGAATATTGTTTTTCACACAAGACAGCTGACAGCTCCATATAAGGTCAGAGAAATGTGTGTTTGTTTACCCTGCGGAGCGGCCCGGTCTGGTTGCATTCACACTGTACTCGAACCACGCTGGAGTTCGTTTCTACCGGACCGAGACCTACGTTTTAGCCCGGACCAGAGTTCGCCTTTTTGTTCCATGACAGAGTTCGATGGCGCGTTCACACCTCCCTAAACGAACCGGACTTTCAAGAAAAACGAGCTAGAGTTTGATTAAAGCGGACTAAACAGGGCTGGTGTGAATGCACCCTAAAGCACTTTGAGTATCTTGAAATAAGATAGAAAGGCGCTATATAAGTACAGTCCATTTACCATTTAGTCAACGTTATTCTTAGTACATATCTTAGATCTTATTACTGTTTTCTTTTGCAGTTGAATATTTTTGTTGGATGTAACGGGGCCCTGTGTACACAATTTTGTTCCACCACATGTACCACATGAGGTGTGTATGACAAATAAAGGATCCTGAATCATTGAACCTTGAATTCTAGTTAATAATGGTAGTAATACTAACAACTGTAATAATAATAATTTATATTCTTTTAAGAGTGTTATCTACATAATGGAGGGAATTATAAGTGATCAAATTCAATCTTTTATTATCATAAGTATTAGTCTATTTATTAGAACCCACTTGTAGTGTGATTAGTAAATTTGGTTCATTTTGACTGCTTGATTTGCTCCTTAGGATCACAGACTGGGTATGTTTTAAAAAATCTCTTTTTGTTTTACCTCATCTTGTCTTTTGGATATTATATATGTAATTATTTAGTTAACTTTTATGATATATGTTATTCTAGCTATTGGTCTCTATTTACCATTTACCCCTTTGCTGGTTGTGTTTCTACTAATCAGTCAGTCAAACTAATCAGTTTATCACCTTATTTCCCAAATTCTTTTTCCATGGTTTAGTAGTTTGAGTATTCTCCTATTAATCAAGTGGAATGGATTTGTTCACGAAGAAAGAGAAACTGCACTGCCTGAACAAACGTTTCATAGTAAAAGTGGGGGGGTCCAAATTAACTTTTTTTTTTTATGTGGGGGGACATGTCCCCTTCACATATAATGGTTGCAACGGCTATGGTGAAGCTACAAATTGATTAACTTATGAAGTAAAATTGATTCAAGATGGTTCCCACAGCTAGTCGGCCTTGGCAAACATTTAAATGGATTTCACTCCATCAGTTTTACAGATACTAAGCTAAAAGTTGTGTGCTTGTAACTGAGAGACTTTCCAAACACATACTCTGAGCTCAAAAAGATAACCTGACATCTTGCAATATTGCATGAGTTTTCACGTTATTTTCACCAGTACTATATGTCCTTAGTTTAAAACTTTGGAATGAAGGGCGGTGAGCAGTATGGATTTGTTCGATGAATGCCAAGTCTTTATTCACTGCATGCTTTTGTAAAAATGTGTCATGGTTTCAGTGTTTAGCAGAATTTGTTGCCTTTTTTGATTGTTTTGAGATAAATGAAACATTGCAAAATTCATCAACACAGACCAGGGAAGTAATTTTCTTGTGTTAATGTTATCTTTTCAGTTACTGAAGATTATATACTGTATAAACAGGTCAGGTTATTTATGCACAGAGTTGTCCTGATTCAGCATTTTCCACCTCTTTTACCTGCAGCCTTTTGTTATTCACGACATGGAGACGCTCCATCTGGCAGAGCAGACCCTGGTGGCCAAGATGGTGGGCTCTGCAGGAGCTCTCAAGGACAGGGAGGCAGAAGTTCGAATTTTCCACTGCTGCCAGTGCACATCTGTGGAAACCGTCACAGAGCTTACAGAGTTTGCCAAGTCTGTCCCAGGATTCTCGAACCTGGACCTCAATGATCAGGTGACTCTTTTGAAGTATGGCGTGTATGAGGCCCTGTTCGCCATGCTCGCCTCCTGCATGAACAAGGACGGTCTCCTTGTAGCGTACGGCTCGGGCTTCATCACCAGGGAGTTCCTTAAGAGCCTGCGGCGGCCATTCAGTGACATGATGGAGCCGAAGTTCCAGTTTGCCATGAAATTTAACTCTCTGGAGTTGGATGACAGCGACCTAGCTCTGTTTATTGCTGCCATCATCTGCTGTGGAGGTGAAGAGCCAAAGAAAATATTTGCTTTGCTCTTTTGGCACATGCATATGACTCTGATTATAGCGTCTCAGTCATCTATCTCTTCTTATTTTCCCAGACCGACCAGGGCTGGTGAACATCCCACATATTGAGGCGATGCAGGAGAGCATTGTGCATGTTCTACAGCTCCACCTGCTGGCCAATCACCCAGACGACATGTTTCTCTTCCCTAAGCTGCTGCAGAAACTGGCTGACCTTCGGCAGCTGGTCACTGAGCACGCACAGCTGGTGCAAGAGATCAAAAAGACAGAGGACACCTCACTGCACCCTCTCCTTCAGGAGATCTACAGAGACATGTACTGAGGATCGTTGAGGAATAACCACGGGAGTGCTTCAAACCCCACCCCACTCTACTTTATTTTGTTGGGAACATGAAAAGAGAAACAGTTGTTCATAAGCTAGGGTTGAACCACTTTAGCTGCCCCATCACCAATACAGCTAGAATATGTTTGGCTTTTCTGATCAGCTTCAACTGATGATTTTAGGCTGATGATTCTTTGGGTTCAACACAATATGGACTGTGGCCACAATACAAACACCAGCATACGCATTTTTGACCAAGTTTTGGAGACCTCCCTGGTTGTTCCGAGCCTCAATAAGCCTGAAAACGAGGAAAGAGAGTGAACCTAATAATTGCTACTCAGGTAGTATGCTTGAACCTAGAAATTTTTTTATACAAATGTGGATTAGCCATACACTTTAAGCTTTGATAAAACTAAATTCATTGGCAGCAACAACAGAAATTATGCAGTTTTAACGGCAGTGATGGTCATCAGCACACCAGCATGTTCTTTTATATACAACTAGACACCTTTGTGGTGTCACCAGAGTCCTGAACACAATCATTTCTTTGTATTGTGCTCAACACTTTGGAAAGATACTGCAGGTTATTGTCAATTACATATTTTTTCCCCAATAAGAAAAAATCTAAATGTACAAAACAAAATATCCAGGGAATAGTGTGTTCAAATGTTACTTAAGACCGTAAACTATGACCAAAATTGCAAGTTTAATTTGAACTTGCACTACACTGCACATCAGAAGCACATCATCACCTGCGAACCTGTGAGGCTGAATGTGTGAACACATTCGCACTTCGTACTCTAAGAACTGACTCGATTAATTAAGTTACAATCTTAAACGGATAATTCAGATCTTTTGAAGTGCAGCTCTGTGGAAAAGCTATGAAAAATTCATACTTAATCTGTTGTAGACAGCTCTTTTGATGACCTCCGTTTTGACAAATGGCGTTTCATTCTGACTGGATGTCCAAGACCCAGACAAAGGCAGTGGCTGACATTTCAGCTAGAGCTGCTAGGCTTCACCTTAAGTCATAACCTGCTGCCACTATACAAGCTTACAGTAATCATCAAATGTTATGGTTTTCATTGTGGAATGTGAAGAATGTGGTGATGCTGGGGATTTTGGGGATTGGAGTTGTTTTAATGTAGAAATATTCCATTTTGGTCTCGACTCCACTCGGCTGGAGGCCTTTCTGGGTGGAGTGTGCGTGTTCCCTCCGTGCATGTGTGGGTTTTCTCCCACAGACCAAAAACATGCATGTTAGACTGATTGATAACCCTAAATTGTCCCTAAGTGAGAGTGAGAGAGTGAATTGTTGTTTGTCTCATTTGTCTCTTTGTGTCCCTGTGATGGACTGGAGACCTGTCCAGGTGTCTCTGTGATGGACTGGAGACCTGTCCAGGGTGTCCCCCGCCTCTCACACAGTGTCTCTGCTGGATATGGGCACCAGTGACCCCCGTGACCTGTAAAGGAAGAAGCGGATAAAGATGATGGATGGATGGATGGATGGATGGATGGATGGATGGATGGATGGATGGATGGATGGATGGAAATGCCAAATATATTGTATATTTGGGCTCTTCAAGCTACTTTAAATCTTAAACTTTTCATTGTTTAGATCCTTAAACTATCGAAATAAATTCAATAATTATCTTGTAACTGATAATATGGTAACCCCGTTACAATTTTTTTGGCCTGTCCCTTTAACACACACACCTAAAGCCATAAGTTGATTTATTTTTTTTAACTGGTCACCACCCACAGCTTCACTGGTCTTTGTTCCACGTCACTCAGACGATCGGGTGTTTTATCTTCGTCATTGTTTAGTTGACTGCATATTCAGTGGTTTTTATCAAGGAAACTCACTGATTTGATTGGATTACAGATTTCACAATTACTGTACATGTGTTGTTTATGAATTATTCATACTCAGAAAATGGGTGGTGGGGGGGGTACACGGTTGTGATATCAGGTAAACATTGACTATTCTCAGGTTTTAACTTCAGTTTGTCCATGAATCAGTTAAATCAAACTTTGTTTATTTTTGGTACTTTTTTAATTACGATGAGGACTGTGCTCATGAAAAAGCTACAGCTTGCATAGGAAGAACATGCTACGTAGAAATCTAAATTAAAGGAATGTTCGTAGAAATCCGGTAATTCAGCATGCATTTCAAAACGATCAGAAAGCATCCAGCACATCTACTTCTGTGAGAAAAATGTTTTTCATATATACCAGTTTAACCAAAGCTGTTGAAAACTATCACAAAATTCTTGATAAATATTGTTTAATTATGTACTATTTTTTTCGAGCACAGACATTCTAAGATGTGCATGTGTGCAATAGACAAGACAAAAAGAAATACCTCAAACACGTTATGACACAAACTGTTCCATAGACATAGACTGTTTTCATAGCTTGTGTTGTCTATCAGATGCATTCGGGTGCTCTCAGATGCACAGATTTGTCTAAAAAAATCAACTTTAAGGATTTGGAATTAGTTGCAGGCACACAAAATGAAAAACTGAAGAGGTTTTTGAAGGTGAGCAACATATTTGTGACATTTTCCTTTTCCTGTTTTTTATGTACAGTTCTGATAAACGAGCGTTAGATGAGGAGCCTAAAGGTTTCAGGAAAATTAGCAATAATGACAGTCATCTGTACAAAACGAGTTAAACATAGTTAAATGATTTAAATTTTCATCATTTTATTTCTTTTTGTTGTTTATTTTTTCTTTACAGTTGCACTATTCATAACTACTTCAGTCATTCTAGTATAAAAAAAAATCAACAAATTCATTTAGAGTTAATATAAATTAAATTTTTTATTACAAATTAATTTATTGTTGTCATATTTGAAGCGCTGTTGTGCAGCCCTAATGACAGCTGGTTCAGCCAATCACGTCATGGCTAACTCTGCACGACACAAATGATGATCAGTACTGCTAAATTTGGAAATAATTTTAGGTAGTGATGGCAAGTGAAGATGTGTACTGTTCTTGTACTTGTGTACTTGTGTTTTTTATAGCGTTAGATGGTATTTTTATACTGAAGTGCGTACAAATGTCTTAAAACGGCATAATTTCAAGCAGTTATCAAAGGGGCGTGTAATTAGAATACTAGTGTAAACAGGGCAACTTGTAATCTAATTATTCACAAATCTGATCCCTGCTGGGGACTTGTCTTCTGTTAAAGGGATAGTTATGATCTTTATAAGTGTTGGTTTGTGTAAAGGTCATGAACATCCCATATATTACATGCTTTTGATGGCTCTTTAAACAGTCTCATTTCAGACAAGTAATAGGTTAGTTCTGATTGGACTCGTGCGCTAACGGCTAGTTTGAGTGGGACCCAAACCAAAGTAGATTTTTGGCACCTTAAAGCAATAGTATGGTCATTTTTGAAAAAAATAAAATAAAAAGAAAAATAACGCTACATCTTATATTAAACCTCTACACTTCTGCATGGCACTTTAAAATTTGTTCCTTGTTTATTCAACCGAACAATCATCAGCATCAGTTTGTCAGGAACCAAGTAAATTTATGTGGTCTGTGATCAGCAACAAGCTAAACAAACGATGTCACACAAAATTGTGTGTTTTAATATAGGCTGATGTTGTGACCTTTCTTAGACAAAGAGTGGTTTTATAAGCCTAAAAGCCTGTTTGACTCGTAGCCTAACATGGATGAAGACTTCTGTCTCTTTCTCCACGCTCTGTGCTTCGTGACTCCATAACAGTATTCAGAAATGACCAGACTATTCCTTTAAAACAACTCTACAAGATTTCATTAGGGATCGTGTGAACCCTCTTATAACTCTTTACACCTCTGTCACTATTACATTACATGCTTATTCTGCCAGTAATAGTCTTGTGTTCCCCAAATTGCACATGAAATGCTAAGGCTAGCTGCTACCGCTGCTGTCTGTGCTTGTAAATAATCCAAACATTTTATGTAAATAACTATAAAGAAAAAATGCTAATATTGTAAAGCTTTAGATTAAAGTTGTTTTAAATTACTTCAGTCTTAGCTCCCCTCGGACCAGCTGCTCATTAGTTCAGTCAGAATTTAACTCCATTCCTCCAAACTGAGGTTGCGCCAAAAGCTATCTATAGCAGGTAAGATACTGTCCTGATGCATGCTCAATAATCGAGGTAGAACAATCACAAAGTCAGGTCTTCTGGACGGATTCTTGTTTAAACGTTTCATCTTTTAGCCAAAGGACTTCTGCAGTCTGAGACAAGCTCAGTCTTATAAGCAGCACCTTCTCCTAGTGGATCAACCAGTTTGCTGCTGACAGTCAGAACCAGCTATAAGAGGGGGGCAGTTGAACAGAACCTCTCCATCATTAAACGGGCGGGGATGTCCATTCAGCTGCCCCCTCTTACAATGCTGTTTTTGCTAGTATCACTCTTTGAATAGCAAGCGATCATCAGGGCACTAACGACCCATCCTTAGGCTGATGGTCCTCCTTTTGCATGTGAACAGCTGGTTCTGACTGTCAGCAGCAAACTGGTTGATCCACTAGGAGAAGGTGCTGTTTATAAGACGGAGCTTGTTACAAGATCTCAGACTGAAGAAGTCCTTTGGATAAAAAAACGAGATGTTTCAACAAAAAAAATCCCTCCAGAGGACCTGACTCAACCTCGTTAGGTAAGATATTCATTGTTCATAACTTTTTCACAGAGTCTCACTTCAAAATAACCAAGCTGTCACTTTATTTTTAGTCAAGATAAAGTACTCGAGTTGTAAAGTCTGGCTTCTTGGAAATCTGCATTATTTTTCCATCCTATTTGAATATTTGATTTTTAGCTGGGAGTGCCCACGGCTTGCTGCAAAAGCTCACAGTAATGGTCGATTTATCAAGACTGGACTCCCTCATCTCTGAATAAAGTTCAACAAGATGTTATTACACAGAAATGAAGCTACAGTTTTGTACTTATCATAAAAGCCTCTCGTTCTCACTGTTCTCTCAGGTTGCACTTTAGAAAACAGTAATATATGCACAGAGATTCAGCGTTCTTGTGCGCCACAGCTGCCTCAGTAGACAAACGTTTATTTTTGACATCTTCTGGCTACACGAGAAACCAAATGCACTCTTAATAACCTGAGCACATGAAATGCAGTAATATATATCAGATTGTTTTATAATCCTGGTTTCTGACTGACTGTCTCGACTTGCTACTATCACTCTTCAAACATTTCTTCTGCCGTGAGTAGATTACGTCGTTCAAGCTGCCTCTTGTGTCTCGTCAGAGCGTCGGACCCTCCCTCTTGCAGCTTGAGCTTGTCACCTAACAGATCCTGGAAGTGCTTGGCAATGAACTATCAACAACGTAGGTGTGCCTTATGTCTGTAAATGCCAACATCAGATAAGACGTGAGCACCCACTTGATAATCGCTCAAACTGATTCATCTGATTTTGACACACTTGGGTCCCACTGATATGACAATAGATGAAAAAAGCATATTTTTTAA